TACGAAAATAGAAAAGCAACATTTCGATAGCTACAAGCAGGGACGTTATAAGAAATTGGGGCCCTTAGCGAGTTTTACGATTTGTAAAAATCGGTCCATATTTGTATTGTATAATGTACACATTAATTCATTCTAACGAGCACGAATGAGCACGAATTGTTTCATCAGAAGTTCCGATTCTGGCGAAAATATTGACGAAGTTAAGGTAAATTACTGTTTACAGAATTCAAGGAACAACCCAATAGTCATAAAAATATTATTGAACAAACGAATATATTGCAACACTAATTTAAATATAATAAAATTAAATATATAGTATATTTCAACTTGCCGAAACTCTTCGAATTTAGAGAAGCCGGTGTATATTATTAAAAAATGCAAAGATTCTTGTAAAAAAAAGTTTAAAATCTTGGAACAGAAGATTGGAGGAAAAAGAAAAAAAATGTAACTAATTTAGTTGGAACAATACACGAAGTAAGAAATATTTTATTTATTTTATAATAGATACGGTGAAAAACAATTCAAATGCGGCACACATTGAATACCCACACAATTTTGGAATGAACGGCTAAGAAGTTGCTGGACTCATTTAGATGTCACCAAATTTGTTTTTGCACTGGACGCCCAACTCGGGCGCCCAAATGTTGCTTGCACGTCCAACTTGGGCATGCACTGCATGAATGGGCACCCAAGTTGGACTTTTACGCGTTTTGGGAGGGTTTTTGGATTTTTTTGAGAAGTTTTAGGGTTTTAGAGAGATAAAATATTTTTTGTTATAAACCGTAAATAGTAATTTTCAAGCCGTAAAAACTAAGTCCCTTTTATTTCACCAAAATGCGACTTATATAAAAAGAAAAAAGAAAAAAGAAAAAAACAAAGAAGGGGGAACGTGGAACATATATATGCATTGGTTTGGTTCCCAAATCTTGTGATATAAAAAGCCCATTTTCAGCCCAAAAAGAGCAGGAAGCAAAAGTATGGCCACTCGAATCAATTCTTCCCACCATTTCACCTACTGCAACAACAATCGGTGCAGTAAAAACCCCTTTCCCGATTCGTAACCGCAATTTCACTCTCCTCAAAATCACCATTTTCTCGCCTTAATTCTAATCCACTGAAGCTCTCACCACCCAGGTTTCCTCTCTCTCTCTCTCTCTCTCTCACACACACACACACACACACATTTATGGATTCGTCTCACTTTTCAGCTGTAAAAATCGTGTTTCAATGGTGTCTGGTGATTACAATTGCGCTTATTTTGGGTTTATTTATCTTACAGGTTGAATAAAAAAGTTTTTACTGCTGTTTCCGAAGAAAAAGTAGTGGAGTCTAGTGTTTCTGGTACTGGTGATGCTTTCAAGCTCACTTATTTGGAGGTTTAGGGTTTCTACTTTCTTCAATTTGGTTAATTTTCTTTCCTTTTTTAGAAAAAAAAATATTATTTATTAATTTTAATTTATTATTTTTGAATTTTTTGGATCAGGGGAATAGTTGGTTATGGCAAATCGGAGGGGCGAATATATTGGTCGATCCAATCTTGGTTGGGAATCTAGACTTTGGAATTCCTTGGCTGTATGATGCTGCAAAGAGGTTTTTGAAAAATTTCAAGGTATTATTTTTGTTTACATTATAGTCCTAATTAAATATATATCTCTTTTTTTAAATTTGTTTATGGTGTAAATTAGTGCAGCTTGATAATCTTCCTGAAATCGACTGCTTACTGATTACGCAAAGCCTCGACGACCATTGTCACCTGAAGACGTTGAAGCCGCTTTCTCAAAAGTTGCCGAATCTCAGAGTTATTTCGACTCCTAATGCTAAATCGCTTTTGGATCCTCTGTTCAACAATGTGAGTTAAGTTGTTTAAAGTTACTTGGTGGAATATTTAGTTGATGCGTTCGATTCGGTGATAAATTTGGTATATTAAGAGATAGAATAGAAGTGAATAAATCACCTGGAATACTGCGTTTGGATGAAACGATTTGAGCGGATCATTTCAAATAAGTGATAACAAATCCATTGAACTTGACAGCTTGCTTGGATTGATTCGTCTGACAATGGATTTCAAATCTTTAGCTCTCGTTTTTAAGTTACTATTTGAGCCGTTGTGGTGAATTTCAAATCCATCTTATTTGGAGTCATTTTGAATTATTCCCTAAGTTCTTTCCGCAAATTAAAATACTTCAATCTAAATGCACTCTTGGAAAATAAAGATCCCGAGATCAATGTCTAATTATGAGAAGAATATACAGAAAGATGTAGTTACATAAGTAGGCCTATAAGCAAAGGGTATAATATTATTATTCCCATACTAACTCTAACAAGTGGTAACGCTCTTCTGGATTGAAAATTAGGACACTAAAGATTCAGGATTTAAAATTAGGACACTTAAGATTCGTATTATTGCATATGGTATTGTTAGAAAGCCATACAGGTCGCATGTCAAAGTATGTATAAAAAAATAAAAACGAAGCCGAGGAGAGAGTATTGTGTGGGCAGAAATCTTAGGACATATTTGCCAGAATACTTTTTTAGGTTTACCTAGAAAAAGAAGAACAGCTTAATCGAATAAGTGTTTTAACTTGAAGTAACAGAGCAGAAAAGCATTATAGAGAAGTTTGGCTGCATGATATTCACAATCTTTTTTTCGTTTCTTTAATTTTATCATATTGGAATTCTGTCTTAATCATGTTCGTGTACAGTTGAGTTCCCACTAAATGGCAACGTAATTAGTACAATATCGATTATGGGAACATCAATAATGTCTATGCATGCCACGCCACGGTTAAAGTTACTAAAAGTAATAAAAAAAAAAAAAAAGGCAGTCCTGCATTTTGAGGAAATTAAATTCTGTTAAATAGTATTTCAGTACAGAGCACTCAACATTTTTTATTACAAAATCTTAGGTTACATATCTAGAACCGGGTCAAAGCTCGGATATCCAAGTCAGCAACGGTACTTTAGTTAACGTTCGAGCTACTCCAGGCCCAGTTTTAGGTCCACCGTGGCAACGTCCGGAGAACGGGTATATTCTATACTAATACCGTTATATTTCATAATGGTAGAGACTCCCGTTTTTTCAAATTATTATTGCATTTCACGTTTATTTTATTTTTAAACCTCTTGCTCCAGTTATATTGTCACCTCTCCTAACCGCCAGCTGTCACTATACTACGAACCCCACTGTGTGTACGATGAGAATTTATTGGAGAAAGAAAAGGCCGACATAGTTATCACGCCTGTTATAAAGCAACTCCTTCCAGGTTTCACTTTGGTATCTGGGCAGGATGATGCAGTTCGACTAGCTAAGTTGCTGCAAGCCAAGTATGTCACACTATCCGATTTTAATTTTATTTTTTTATTTTTTTTCGAAATATGTTATCTTGGCAAATATAAATCTATGTTTTCTTTGTTTTTTTTTTTTTTAAGGTTTGTTGTGTCAATGAGAAACGGGGAACTTGACGGCAAAGGGCTTCTTTCTGTTATTGTTAAGGCCGAAGGGACCATGGAATATTTCAAGGTACAAATCAGTATATTTTGTTGATTTTTTAGCATGAGAAGTGTTCTTCAGCATTGTCGTTACGGTTATACATCGATTTAAAAATTTAAAATAAAAAAAATAATTGGCTAATCTGTGGTGCCTATAATATATTAGTCCCGTCTTTCTTGTGTAGGAAATGTTATCGAAAGAAGTACCAGATTCGAAAATTCTAGAGCCTACGCCTGGAGTACCGCTCGAAGTTCCTCCACCTGCGGATCACAACAGTTCGTAATGCACAAAACCTTGAAGTAATTACTAAAAATTATATTCTTTATATACATGTATATTGTATACATATACTACGACATATAAAGAATGAGTGTGATCAATTCGGACGTATTATAGAAATTATCGCTGAAACAGATAAAAACGCAATTGTCGAAGCACAAGCATCAACGCGTGCTTCATTTTTTTAAAGCCCAAACTGCATTATTATCTTCAACAAGAAAATAAAATGAATAGATGGGATCCAATTGGTGATATTAGAGGGAAAATAAAAAATAGGACACAAGATAGTGAGATGATCTTAGGCAATTACTACATCGTAAGTCTCGGTCATGTGTACTAGGTAAATTTATTACCGTTCAATACTATGCGAAATATGTAAACCGTAATAAGTAAGTCATGTGCGATCAGATCGACCTAAAAAGTGTTTGCAAGAAGAATCGAGCTGGAACAGTTAGATATCACGTTATGCTACTCTACCAACTAGACGACTCTACTTCGAGATAATGTCGATTATTCTTTAATTTCATCAATAGTAGGAATATATACAGAAAAAAACTAAGAAGTTGGAGCCAATTAGAATGTCGACACAATGAATAATCTTATTTAAAAACAATTAAAAAGGTGGATGTACAATATTATAAGATATGCATAGTACAATAATTAGATCCTTTTCTGCATATAAAAAACGTTGACTTCCATAGATGTGAGTACTAATTCAAGTGGAGTTAGGTCAAAAGTCAAAACTAATTTTAATTAGTAGTTTGAGAAATTTGTCAAGAATGGATTTTGCTTCCTTAGAGCAACTCCAATGCTAGATATTAAAATTGAGTTATCAAATACTCATTTGATATTTGAGAATTATTTTAATATTAATTTAAAACTCATCTACTCCAACCATGGTTATTAAATTAATTATCAATTGGAAGTTTATGGGTAGTTTTATTTGTAATTGCCACGTGTCAACTTCTGATTGGATGTTTAGGAGGTTACAATTTTGATAACTCAATTTCCAGCAAGTATTTTTACAACCCGAAAGGTGAATTATCAAAATTGAAACCTCATTTGATAACTCCATTGGAGTTAAAGATTTCTATTTCTAACTATGTAAATGGGAGTTAAATGTTTAAATACTCTATTTGATAACCCCATTGGAGTTGCTCTTAGAAGACATCCTTAAAATGGAACTTTTTCCATTGGTCTTTTTT